TCTCTCTCTCTCTCTCTGTGTGTGTGTGTGTGTGTCTAAAATCTACAGAAGGGTACATTGTTACGAAAGTTAAAATCATTTTCTGGGAGTTATATGTTAAATACAATGAACATAAAAGAACATGTACTCTGTTCAAAACTACCATGAGACCAGAAACAGACTGGCAAAGCATGAAAGTTCACTGAGGCTATCCTTTTAACGTTACAGCTGAATTATAGCCACAAAGTATATATACCCTCTTGCTGTAGTCCAAGGTCCTTCTAATTCATAGTGCATGTCCTTTGCTGATCATCCTACTTGCTTTTTCAGCTATCTAAACAAACTTCTTCGGGTTCTGTAGCTTCCCTCAATGGTCACACACTGTAGTCCTACCTTACCAATTAACTTTGTTCTAAGTATTTTTCAGAATTCTCACGTAAGATTTGTTTGTTAGAATATAAACTGTTAAGTGGGTATGCTTAGAATCTAGAGACTTAGAATACAGTCTTTGGTAATAATAAGCTATATGACAGCCTCTTTTTTGGAAAAAAAAAAAGCTGTTGAAGGTTTTCTTCAGCCTTGGTATTGATTTTATGGGAAGTACCATATCTATGAAATTATCTTTGTTTACCTAGTACACAAAGTGGACACTTCTATGTAAGGGTCTACTTATCTTTCAAAATTCAGTTCAAGCAGCTCTTCTTTTGGTTTTCATTGGTCATGTTGAAAAAGTCATTGTATACTGTACAGTGGAGGTTTATACACCTTATTATGTGCTATAGCTGACTGGCAAGTCCTAAAGGCATATTCATTTTAGAACCCCTTATAGTGCCTTGTTTTTAATGTGTTTAACATATTTTTACTGAACTAGCTGAATTATTTTTCCACATATGACCAAAAGGAGTTTTACACACAAAAATTTTTATAAAATTATTCTCATTTGGATTTTTAGGGTGAGAGAGGAAAAAAACAATCTAGGTTAACTATGTAGAACTATGTAGGCAATACGGAGTTTCCTTAGGAATCTTTTTTTTTTTTTTTTAAATTTTGAGATAGCCCTATAGCCACTGCTTGCCTGGGACTCACAATGTGGACCAGGCTGGGCTCAATCTCACTGAGATTTGCCCGTCTCTGCCTCCCCAAGTGCTGGGATTAATGGCGTGCGCCACCATGCCTGGCTCCTTAAGAATCTTTGATGCTAAGCAATAAAAGAACACTGGAGCATACACTGAGTCAAAATGTCACTGTTCCCAATCTTGTTGGGTAACTTCACATGTCTAAGAAGCATAATAGAGGATTTGGCATGTAGAATAGGAATAGGAAAGCAGCAGGGGTAGGGTCCACTGTGTCAAAATTTGGGTACAGATTCTGCCTGTGTGATGTTCACTTACTTGGAAGCCTTTAAAATCTCCCAATTTCATATAACTTGCAGCTCAGTTTTAATTAGCTTTTCAAGAAATTCAAGGCACTCATACCAGAAGTAAAATTCTTTCCACTGATAACTGCTTAACTAATTAACTATGTGCTTATAAGAAGCTTTGTTAGCTCTTAAATCTGTGTCAGTGACACAGTATTATAATTTTGTTATTTGAAATATTGTGTAAATAAGACAAAATATGAAAAGGAATCAGCACTCTTTCTACAAAACAAGTTTAATACTCTGGAAAGTTCAACATGAGAGATGCTACAACTAGATGTGAAAGACCAGGGCCATCATCAAAATCTGTAAGGGTTGACACTTAGACTACTTCACAAGGTTCTAGTTTCCCTCTTTAAGGAAATGAAGACGGGAAATCTGTCATCAAAGAAGCCAAGATTATGGGTATGGTTTATACAAGAAAGAGGACAATGATTAAGTTGATTCCTGTTTAAAAGTACAATAATGGCACTGTATTACAAGAGTAGTGAATAAATATAACATACATTCTAAAAAGGTGAGATTATATGCATAACTTTTTACACACCACAGAGCTCTTTTCTGACCACTGTACCAATGATCAATCTAGACTTCTTCAAGTTAAAAGAGCTTCTTCTGAATTTCACGAGTATTTTATTTAAGAACATCTCATGGGTGTTGCCAAGAGGCACATGTATTCAACACTATGCAAGTTTATGAATGATAAACTAATACAAAAGTCACAATAGATGGAAAACAAAAAATCAGACAACAATCTAATCCTAACAGCAATTATTCACTATTGTTTTGCTGATGTCTTTTATTAAGTTAGTATGGTTTAAAAAAATCTATTTAGTGTTTGTGTGTATCTGTTTATGTAGGTTATGGCATGTGTGTGGTCAGAGAACAACACTGTGGAATCAGTTTTCTGCGTCTACCTTTATGTGGATTCCAGGACTTGAACTCAGGTTATCAGGTTTTACACGACAAGCACCTGTATTCACTGGACCGTCTCACTAGTCCTAATGCTTTTTCAATATGAAATATTTTTAAGCACCTACTACATCATACTACTGGTGGTCACCAGAAAAACTAATCTTATGTTCCCAAAGAAGAATTAAAAAATAAAGTATTTGCTTTAAAAAAAAAAAAAGGAAAATCACCTTATGTTTCTTCTTGGAATACATTTATAAGAAATAATTAGAGCAAAATGTAAAAATTAGACTTATAAAACTCTTGAAGGCTAATGCCTAAGAAAATGCTGAAAGGAAATGGTACCATGCTAGAAGGGGAAATATTTAAAATTCAAAATGAGTAAACAGTTAAAGAACACAGAGTTTCTAAACAAGGTGTTTTTTTAAAAAAATATTTTATTTATTATTTTTATGTGTATGTGTGTATTGCCTACATGTAAGTAAGCGCACCCATGTCGTGCAATGCCTGCAGAGGGAAGAAGAGGCTGTTGGATCCCCTGGAACTAGAGTTAGGGACAGTTGTTAGCTGCCATGTGGGTGCTGGGATTTGAACCTGGGTCTTCTGTAAGAACAGTCAGTGTTCTTAACTGCTGAGCCATCTCTCCAGCCCTTGGGATTTTTTTTTTTTTTTTTTTTTGGTAAAACGTCTTGTGTTTACATAGTTGCTAAAGTTTATAATGAAGCAAAACAACTGTTTAATCTGTTGAGTCTAGATACAAGTGGTTAATTTAAAGTAAACTACAAATCTAAATCTTCATAACATATTAGTTCTAATTTGGCAAATTATACTGAATACTAACTAAAAATGTTAATTTAACCAAGTCAACCTTATTTCAAATGCTTTGTGATATGCATACCTTTCACCTCTAGTTTGCCTACTATTCTAAAGTTGGAATAAATAACTAGATTTTTTTTTTGAAAAGGTAAAAATTTTCCCTAAAGATATTTTTCTGTGACATTTTCTCATAAGTATATAATGTGGTAAATATAGTTTCCCTCTCTTATTGTTATTGACATAGTGTAAAAACATTTTAACTCTCCTTCAAGTAAGTAACAGGTTAAATAATTTAAAAACAAAAGCCTTTACAGGACTACAATGTTCTATTAACTATAAACAGAATCTAAGATACTGTAAGCAGTGATTATGAGCTCGAAGAATGCAGAAAGAAGAACGTTCAACAATTTTTCAAGGCTGTAAAGAAGCAGAGTAGTAACTCTTATTCCCTTTTTCCTTGGAATGTAAAACTTTCATTATGAGAAGAAAAGGAAAAATGAAATGCAGAAGAGTCATTAGCTTCTGCAAATGATTAGGAAACAGCTCTGGTATGTGGATTTAAAGTGAACAGTCATGGCTCTTTTGCTTATAAACATTTCCTGAAATGAAACATTTCCAAAATTACAATCTTTTTCTTTTTTTCTTTTCTTTTTTGAGACAGGGTTTCCTTGTATCCCCAGGTATCCTAGAACTCACTATGTAGACCAGGCTGACCTTGAACTCACAGAGATCTACCTGCCTCTGCCTCCCAAGTGCTGGGATTAAAGGCATACACCACCACACCCAGTCAAAATTACTCAAATGTTACTAAGTCTCAAAATTTAATGCTAAAAGTATTATATTTATCTTTAAATGTTATTATGCTTATATGTTGGGAATTTTCTATATCTATATCTACTGATATACTAAATATAAAGAAAAAGTGAGATTGCCACATATATGCTCCTATTTTATCGTTTGATCAGGGCTAATCTGAAACAGAAACTGATTACTGGTAGGAAACGGAATGTCCCCACTCCCCCTTAAAACTGCTAATAAGGTGGAAAGGAATATATATTTTTGTGTAATTATACAACTGTACATGTAAAAATTTTTATTTTTTTAAAAAAATAAAACAGGTATTTTAGGGGGCTGGAGAGATGGCTCAGCAGTTAAGAGCACTGGCTGTTCTTGCATAAGACCTGGGTTCAAATCCTAGCACTCATATGGCAGCTAACAACTGTCCATTACTCCAATTATATCCTCCAAGGGCACTGCATGACATAGGTGCACTTACACACACACAGGCATACACATAAAATAAAAATAAATAAACCATGTATTTAAAAAAACCCTTATATTTAAATGCTGTTAAAATAATGGATGATGATGCCAGGCATGGTGGCGCATGCTTTTAGTTTAGCACTCAGGATGCAGAGGCAGGGGGATCTCTGTAAGTTCAAGGCCAGCCTGGTCTACATAGTGAGTTCTAGGCCAGCTGTGGTTACAGGGAGACCCTGTCTCAAAAAGACAAAAAACAAACAAAAAAACAAAAAACAAAAACAAATGTTCCTTTTTAGTAGTTATACCTTTAATGATAACAGCAGGTTAAATTTTTATTGCTTTTATGCTTGCTCTAAAGATAGTGTAGTTTTTTCTTTATTTTTTTCCTATTATCTTAGATTTCTAATAAGCAAAATAAAAGCTAATTATAAAAACAGGTACCTAAGTAACTTAGAACTTTGTTAGGGTTAACTTATAAAAAATCAATTTAATTCCATCAATATTATGAAGCACACACTGTGTCGGCATTATGTTAGCAGACGTGAGCATTACATATTTCATGAATAATTAAAGATGAATGCATCTACTATTACATGAAAGAAGTACATTGTACCTGGATTAGATGAGGCAATGCTTTTAGTGTAAGGCAAAACCAAATTCCCAGTTTGCATGGAAGCAAATCATGCCACTGTGGTTTTATCAGCAATCTAAAGTGGGGGGGGGGGGGGGCAAACAACAAAACAAATCAGCAAAATAGAGAAAGTTGAGAAACAAAATATTTTAAGCGATTATGAATTCTTTCTGAAAACTTACTTAAATAAAAAAATGAAGAATGTATTCAATAAAATACTTAAGACAGTTATCACTTAATCTGATTTAATCTCTTATAAAATGCAGTAGTTACAAGAAATGCAATATGAATAACGAGTATGGGAATCCAAGTTGTAAAATTTGGGTGAAGGAGGTCCCTAATCAAGCTGTATAGATAAAGAAAAATTGGAGGGGAGGGGAGGGGATGGATTTAATCAACACACATTAGATGTATGTATAAAATTCTCAATAAAAAGATATAAAAAAAACCCACCTCTTTTTAACCTGGGCTTTCATCACTTCTATAAAATGAATTCTTAAACCTTATGATAACTTTGTCTATAAAAGACTGACCATTATTAAGTGTTCCCAAGTGCTGACAACCAGATATGAAGACAGAAGCATAAACAACCAATGCAGAGAGATGAATGACATTTGCAGTTTGCTGAAGCATTATTCACTGATGTCATCAGTCAGGATGGAAGACAGGCAGTCGAGTCTGATCTCCATCTCACTCTCATCTAAGACCTGCCCTGCTGTGTGAACTATTTTAACCCTTTATTTCTTTCCATGAATCAATGAAAGAAACAGTGGCATCCTGAGTGTACTGCATGTCACTCACTCAACTCTACTTACTGTCACTTCAGTGCAAAAAAGCATTCTGTTTCAAAAGTTCAGTATAAAAATTTCAAACTAGAGAAAAACCTCTAAGAATTCTGCTTAAGATTAAAATTTGTCTTGTAAAGTATGGCACACTAGTCTCTATAAACCTAAAACAGATGTGACAGTGTATCTGAAATGGACAGGCATAGGATGTTGAATCATATTAAGACATTTTAAAAAGTTTTAATTAGGTAATATCTTTGTATCTCTCACCTTTCATTTTTTTCAGAAGCACCAAGTTTTGATACATCCACACTCTTGCTGCCTGTCTTTTTCTTCTTTTCTCTCTTTTTTCTACCAAGCAGTTCATCCTTAAAATGGAAAGAATGATGGTTACCATTTATCTTTAACACATATGCTTCAAGTGTTACCAAGACTCTTTCGTGAAGGGTGAACACTAGAAGAACATTTATGCAAATGTATGATCAAGTAAAATCATCATTCTTTCACAGTAACTGTTGCCATGGTATCCAGGCCTTAAACACACAGGAAGTTCGGTACTGTCAGTCATGTGCATCTCCATAGCAATCAAAGTTTTCTAAGAAAGCATTCAATTTACTTTTTATTATTCATGCAACTTTAATAATGGTACTTTAAAAGGAATGAGTAAATACACACTAATTCATGAATGTTTATAAATATGTTTATCTTTAGCATATAAATAAAAACCCATAGCAGGATAAACTATATTGCATATTAGAACAAGAAAAGTGTAATAAGTCTTTTAACTAACCAAAGTTATAAAGTATATTCATCTTAAATCTTATTTAATGTTTTCAAAGTAATCATATTATATAAGTAAATGGTCTTTGACAAAAAAGTTATGGAGTCAAGTACATTAAAAAATTCTATTTAATAGGTGCTAATTAGAATATGACTCTACTCTCTAATTTTCAGCTACATATTGAAACTTTATGAAGTTTTAAAGAAACTGAAATGCTATATATTTTTCAAAGAAGGATTTTTAAAAAGTTCATGTGTTCTCCTTGGCTTAAAAATAAACCAAGAAACTACTGAGAACAAAACTATTAGAATAAAGTGTCATGTAGAAAAACACATTTACAACATTGAGAAATAAATGTCTGGAATTCTATTTAAAATAAAGGAGGCTAGGTCACTTATTTATTACCAATACTTACCAGCTGTTTTTCCAGGTAGATTGACCACACCACAGCATAGTGACCCACTGTGAGAATAATGAACAACAGTAATGCCAGCTCGGCATTGCTCATTTTTCTCACCCGTCTGTAGTAGAATACGGGCTGTCGCCAATCTGGAAGTCCATTGATCAGAATATCATCATACCTACAGCAGCAAATAAAAGTTTTCACAGGGAGTTTAAGATAAAGCAAAACTAAAACAAAATAAAATAAAAACTTTATTTGTACCTATGCTTAAGAAGAAGGAAAAGAATTTCAAAGATATGTAATAGTAATGTAGCTTTACCAGTGTTGCAGTGCCTAGTAAATTCAAAGCACTGTTTGTGGTTTCAGAAATGACAATCCTCAGAAGACCCACAGTGGTAATACAGTGGATGCCAGATCTCATGTTTTACAGCACCCACTGATATGAGTCTTGGAATGACATCTACATTAAAGGAGCTGCAGTGTGCCCTATCTGTCTATACTGTCTATAGCAAATTCTCTACCATAGAAATCACCAACAAAGGGCAGGACCTCAAAGGGGAAAAAGAAATCAAATCAGAGCTATATGAATAGCGTATTATTCAAATGAATTAATTGATTCAACTCAGGATTAACTTTTAGGCAGCATTTTTATTTCTACCTTCACCATAATGGATGAATGTGTTGAAATACCTTATAGATGTTATTTTATCAAAGCCTCTCAATGACATAAAGCTAAATAAAATGAGTGCCTTTTGATTTTGCAGAGCTCATGTTCCTTTTAAAAAACAAACAGATCCCAAATTAGAAAAAAAGATGAAAACAACATATGTCAGAGTCTGCAATAAAAATATTTACTTGTAAACACTGAGGATGCAGTTTCCTCACTGGTGGCTTTTGATGGAAGAAAAGAACGTTAATAAGGAACAGCTTCCCTTGTAATGCATTTAATCATCATTCTTTGTACTACCAGGCTAAAAACATTGTTTTAAAATAAAAAATTAACTCAATTTAAATTTACCTGTCAGTTACTGAGGCAAACATTTTTAAGGTTAAAAATAAGGAGTAACATTTATGATTGTAAAACTCAAAATGATCGCACACACTATATGCACAACACACACAACCTGTTAATCTTAATTGAACACAACTCATTAAATATTCTAATCACACTATTTCCAGAATTAAACCTTCACTGAAAGGCCTAATTTGGTGCAACACATTGACCAAAATATTTTAATTAAAAATATTCTGAGTTAGTCGCAGGCCTAATTACAGGAATAGAAATAGGGCCTATATTGTCAGGCAGGTCAGCAGAGCTCAGTAGTAGGTTTTTCTCAAGTAAATTGACCGATCTAGGAATAATAGCGCAGCTGCTAAACTGCCAGTCTTGACATGTAAATCAATTTAAATGCAACAACTGCAGTGGCTACTTTGATGGTTATTAAATTGATACCTTGGAGATATGCTAAAAAAAAAGCAGAGGTTTATTATGGGAAACTTTTTTTTTCAATAGAAAAATACTGGTTATTAATATAAAATATATTTTATTAGCTAATCTTTAAAAACCTGACTTTTAAATCAACTTTAGTTATTAATACTACTAGATCAGAATAACCAAATAGTAAAGAAGGTGATATTTATAAAAGTCAAATTACAACATGGCTTCGTAGTGACAGGGCCACACAAAATTTGGTATTAAATACTTTTTCAGTATTTGTACCATTTCTTAAATGTTTATTTCAAGATATATTATGGATATAATATATAAGATATATCATGACTTCCTAAAAAACTTACTTCTGTCTTCAAATTTTGTATTTAAATCTATCTTTTAAAAACTTGCTCATTTTAATTTACTGAAGTAAAAAGGTTTCAATTAGTATACACAATATCACACATTCAAATGAAGTCCTATGTTTATTCTAAATCTAATTCTGCTTCAGAGTTCTTGAGGAGAAATAAAAGTAATTAAAAATCATTATTTTCAGTAAATCTCTCCCATAGGATAACTTTTAAAAAGAATGGGCATTAATAAAAATATGAGAAAGTGGAGATGACTCTGTGCTGGCATTAATAAAAGTGTTAAAATTGCTTTGGACATAAACTGTTTTGGAAGAAAGCATATTTGGACTCATAACTGAGAATCTTCTATCAAATATTTCATCACTATCACTGTTAAAAACTACCATTTTATCACACATATAAACTGTATGTAATGTACAACCAAATTCAAATGCATGGAACACATTAAGCACCAGATATTTACTAGGCTACGTCTGCCACTCTAAACAACAGTGCCCAAGGATTAAGCGTGCAGTCAATGCTCTATTGATTTTACTATCAATGAACATTATGGCTCACACGACTGGCCATTTGAAGGGAAGATAGCTTCTATTATAGTTCACCTTTTAGAATGTATGCTGGTAAAAGATAAATTACTACCTTCCTGGTGAAACACAGAAAAGACAAAAACACTTCTTAAAATACACACACTTTTAATAAGTTATTTAAGAAAAACATTGTGTTGACAACACAAAATTTAAAAACATCACTTTATTATGCTTTTTTATGTTTAAATACATAACTGCTAAAATGCTCTCTGAGTCTGATACAAACTATTCTAAACTATGCATTAAAACCAGATTAAGAATGCACAAATATATAAATGTGGTTTGTTACACAGAAGCAAGTCTATATTATAAAAAAAAAATCACTAATGCAAAAAAAAATCATATGAACTATAAAGGCATTTTCTTGAAATTTAAAACACTGATTTTCTACATATTTAACTTAGCATATGTTTACTTCATTTGATTTTTGAAAATGTACATAATAAACATAAAATAATGGTTGCATAATCATTATTAAGTTCCATACTGGAACCCATAATTTATCACATATACTTAATCTAATATTAAAATAAATACTGGAAAACAAATCAAAATTTTAATTACCAGCAGAAAACATTTAGTTAAAAATAAAAACAAAAATCACAAATATATAATCAAAATGAAAATTTTAGTAGTATGAAAATGAAGAAATAATTCCAGCATGTGTCAAAACTATGAATTTCCTATCATATAAAGCTTAAAAAACAACACAGTCTTCACTCGGGTCATATTTAAAGCTCTCCAATACAGAAATCATAAGCCAGAAACAAGACTAAATTAACTGCTCTCATATTTTTAAAAATATTTACGTATGTATTGGCCAAAAATCATGGCACACAGCATTTTTTATAAGGTATCTTGTATCTCTAATTTAGGGAAGATGCTAACTTTAATTTGAACATGTCTGTAATCAAATTCACCACGAATGTGTAATGGATAAACATTTTAGATGATTAAGGTTAATGCTATATTTTAAACTGTATTTGCATATAAAACATGGTTTTATTTGGTAAATTAGAAACAATTCTTTACAAGTGTAATCTAAATAAAAGAGACAAAAGAAATTTTAAATTGTACAATTAGATTAACAGAAATATTATTTCAAATTTAGAATATATTTTAAACAAAAGTAAATATGTTACTATTATTAGAATGTAATCTAGTCCACATATGTAGCAGCTGGCACTCAGAACTTTAGGTAATACTCTGGGAACCTGTACAGAAACTGATGTTGGAACACAGACAGGCTGCAAGTCCCTTAAGTTAGCAAGCTACAGAGATCAGGAAAGGCTGCTATGCTAAAGTTCCTTAAACTAACCAGGAAAACCTGTTAATTCCATGCTATAAAATCTATGCCTTTGAGGGATGGAGAAGTTTAACAGTTTTTCAAATGTTCTCCTAGGAATCTACTCAAAAAACAAAATCCATGTCCAAGCAAAGGCTTTTATGTGAATGTTCATAGCATCATTGCTTACCAATGAAAAGCATTAAAAATCCATAAGACCATCAAATGGTGAGTGGATAAGCAAAAATGGTATAGCTACACAATGGAATAGTATTCAGTAAAAAAAAAAAAAAAAAAAAAAAAGAAGTCAGATGTGAAAGACTGCATGCTGTATGATTTTGTTTATAAGAAATGTACAGAAAAGGCAAATTATAAACACACTCAACAGATCTATGATTGCTTGGGGCTGGAGCTCATAGTGAGAACTGCCTACAAATGGATTTGAGGGACATTTTTGAAGAATGCAAATGTTCAAAAAGCAGGTGACAGTGATAGTATGTACAATTCTGTACATTTATTAAACATCACTAAATTGTATACTTAAAGCAGGTGATTTCTATAATATACAATTTTACCCAAATAAGGCTGTTAAAACTGTCTTTTTCTTAAGAAAAAAATGGTTATTCCACTTGCTAATTTATTTACTGTATTCCCTTTACTACCAAAATATAAATAATGTATCTGATTTTAGTGAAAGCACAATTACATGTATGAAAAATAAGCAGGAAACATATCTATGACCATTTTTCTCAAACTGTAAATGCCCACAAGGTTACACTTTTAAAGTCACTTGTTCAGTGAATATTTATGATGAACAGTTGTGTCAGCAAAAGTTATTTTGTATAAGATACTGTTTTGTCTTTCATGAGTTTGGAGCCTCACTTACAAAGCCCTGTAGAGCCTTCTTTCTCCTAGATGTCTAAATGCTCCCAAGTCACCTGGCCTCAGGCACAAGCTTTAGAGGAGTGATTCTCAGCTTGATTAGTTAAGATTTTTGCCTCAAGGAAAACCAGTTACCAAAGAGTTACTTGTGCCTCTAGGGGTATAAATACTACAGATGTTTGTGTAACTGTCAGGTCCATTTTTTCCTACTAACACGCTAAAGTAATGCAGAGGGAACTAATCCTAGAGTGATAATGTCAGGAGGAGTCTATGTTAATACAGAAACAACTGACAAGAAAGAAGTAATCTGCTCTGAAAAGATAGAAATAATTTTAGTAATTGAAAGAAATTATTACAAAGTTTACTGATTTCTAAGATAATGACCAGCAAAAAGACAAAATTTGACGCTAAAGATGTTGGAAGAAAAAAAGCAAGTTATCTTTACAAATGCATTCTTGTGTGAAACAAAACTAGGGGTTCACTAAAGGAAATCAAGTAGAAAATACGCACAGAATGACCAATACTTCTTTCAACACACTTTATAGGACTCTTTCAACATGATAGATTATCTCAAACCAGAGGAATGTCTGCTCTGGTACCTGGACCAATGCCAATCCTTGTTATAAAGCAAAGAAAGTTTAAGAGAGTGTTGAATCACTGCTCTACAATCTGATGAACTGAGGTATTCAAACTAAACAGTAAGGATGAGAACTAGGAGCAGTGGCTAGCCACTTTAGGTTGTAGAATAACTCCAGATGGGCTGTTTGAAGCAAAATTTAGAATGTCACATAGCATAATTCTGGGGGTTGTCTTTAAGATGCTTTAGACTCACAGACATTTAGGCTGGCTTGAGCATAAATCCCAAATATCTGGGTATTTTGCTAATGTACTCTTTTACTGAACAGCAACATTTTCAAACTTCCACTATTATCTCATGAAATCAACTTTTTGGGACCACAATCAGCATTATTGCTGTTTAGTTTATTTGTTTTTTAAAGAATAATTAGCCCAGAAGAGAAAAATCAGTTTGTGTGATCTGCAATAAATATTTTGGAAACTTTTATTTCAGTTGTGTGTGCATCCTGAAGGATGATTTAAAATGTTTCTTACTATAGATCTTAAACTTTGAGAGACCCCACAACTGGATCTACATTCCACACATTCTGCAGTAGAGGAAAGGGGCCTCTGGGATCTCCTGTGAGTCACTGACCCTATAAACCACTACCTAGGGACATTAATGCTCTTCTGAAACAGGCACAGGAAAGTCTGATTGAGGGGCTGCCTCTACTGAGGTTTTATCAGAGACCTGAATCACTGAAACAGAGTACAGATAAGGGAAAGAAGCAAAAGAAATGAGGAAGAGATGAGCATTTTTCTTCCACTCACATCTACAGCTCATCCAACTCTATTCTTACAACTTGGGTTATTCGGGAAGTGAAGAAACATCAGGAAAGTATACTAATGTGGCTACTACTAAAAGGATAATTTAAAACATTTAAGGAAGAAGGGGGCATAGAGACAGTGGGACCACCAATTATAGATAGGAGTCATTAATGACACATCGCAAAGAATGGACATTTGGTTGAAGTCAAGTAGTACTTGTTATTTCCAAGGACATGAACACCTATGCAAAAAACTTGTTCTAATGAAGCAAAACTTGCTAACGTTATGACTCATGATCCTAGTCTTTAAGTAGTGAATCAACCTAGTGATTCGCTAGTGCAATAAAAATGAACTCTGTTCTAAACATAGATTTGTAAATATATGTTTCTTAGAAGAAACAAAAACCAATTAAATGAGACGTAATTCTTTCCTTTTAAAAGCTGTAGCATGAAAATTTCCCATCTTAATTAAAAATTCAAATCAACACTCACCTCTGCCTTCTTTCATCATCCTTTAAAACTTCATAAATGGCCACCAACTAAAATAGAAGCATTATTTTAAAGTAAAAATACTTTCAACGATCAGAAATCACAGAGGAGGCAAAGGCTCTATAATGCGCATGCAGAGAACCCTATGTGCCCGTATATGTAACAAACAGTCAAAATCTTAATTATAAGCAACATTTTGTATTTTTGGAAGTACCTTACAAAATTTAAAAAATATCTGATACTAAAATGAATTTTTGTGAAAGATGCAAAAGTAATAATTGACTTAAAACCTATTTTAAGAGCAAGAACTATAATTTTGACAAGAAAATTATGACAATTATGAGCCTCCAACAACTTAGAAATTCTAACAAAATGTCGGTAAAGTATTACACTGAAAAAAACTAATAAAAATCTAAATGTCATATACTTAGACTATTTCATGTTCAAGTGAAAATATTCTATATGTAAGTTAATATATCTATCATAAACATAATACGACTGTCACTATGTATTTACATATTTATATATATATTAAAAATTAACATTTCACTTACTTGTCTGAACTGAGTTTCTGCATTTGCATCTTTGTTCTTGTCTGGATGTAAAGTTAGTGAAAGCTTACGATACGCTTTTCTGATGTCTGCAGATGAAGCATCCTGGATTGGTAGGGGGAGGGGGAAAAATACAAAGCAAACTTTGTCAGAAAGAGAAATTCCCAGAACCTTATTAAGATCTGAGAAGACAGCCAACCAAGTGCAAGACCCCGGGCAATGTAATTTGAGCAATCAGCTTAACAACCACGCTCTGCAGCTAGCCTGGCCCACATGACTGAACAATTATTCAATCTAATTTGGATCTCTTCTTAACTTTTCATTACCATAGAGTCATTTAAAGAAGACAGCATTTGGCAAAACTTTTCAAACACTTGCTTCCCTAAAATTAACCAATAAATCTTTTTCAGTAATTAAGAGATCAAAAAGAAACAAATTAAAAATTAATACATCTGTGTGCCTTCAAAGAAGGTCTTTATATATCTGAGAATCTTAAAACCAGTTTCTGAATCCCAGGTTTATCATGTATAGTTTCTTTACTATAAGTTATTTATATTTAATTTACCATCCAGCAACAACTTACAAAATCTCAACTTTACATGTCAAAAAAAAACCCAAAAGTGTATTTTAAGAGAGTTAAATTTGTATTTGTCCAAAAATAGCTGTAATTTATATAGTTTTGTATATTGTATTTAACATTTTTTAGTATTTTAAACTGAATTTTCACCATTGTACAGATTCCTCAGTCTGGTTTGGACAAACAAATTTGCCCATTATCCATGAATTACTAATACAGTTTAAATATGTACAAGATCATAATAGTTCAGTAATTTAGATTAGGTGAATGTTAAAATTATATGCAATCAGGGGAACAGGAAGAGTAGAAATAATGCAAATACAACACTCATGTACAAAACTGTCAAAAAATTATATTTAAAAAGCTGTATGTAATCAAAAGCAATTTGAACAAAAATATGTGATCTTGTGTACACAGGTAAGAAAACAGCATCTACATGGAGAGAATAAATACATATCAATAACAAAGACACTATCAAATTAGGTTTAAAACTTCATCTCTGGGGGCTGGAGAGATGGCTCAATGGTTAAGAGCACTGACTGCTCTTAGAGAGGATCCGGGTTCGATGCCCAGCATCCACATGGCGGCTATGAACTGTCTGTCCTTAACTCCAGTTCCAGGGGAATCCGACGCCCTCTTCTGACCTCCGCGGAATTGCATGACATGGGTGCACTCACATACATGCAGGCAATACACTCATACACATAAAGTAAAAATAATAAAATATATTAAAAGACTTCATCTCTGCTGTATTTAAAAACATTCTTGAGGCAAAATGATAAAAAAGCTGCCTATTAAGTTTTGTTTGACAGTTATTTATCGAGAGAGAGAGAGAGAGAGAGAGAGAGAGAGAGAGAGAGAGAAGAGAGAGAAGAAGAAGAAAGAGAGAAAGCAAGCAAGCAAGCAGCTACAATTAGTCTGTCAAGCTTTCATCTAGAAGCCACTACTTTCCGCCCCGCAAGTCTCTGGGGGCTTGTTGCTTCAGGCTGGTATGCTATCCTAGCTATGAATACTTTGGTGACTTATGGAATGCTGAGGAGCCATAGAATCAAGAGAGTAAATTTTGCAGGTGATATGTTTGCATTTTTTCCATTTTAAATTTGCTTAGGGAAACTGATGTGCTGCTTCCCACATTAGACTATAGGTAATGTATACTAGAAATTGGTGGTTGTTTAATGGAAATGTGTAATGAATCATTCTGTCATGCAAAAAGTTCAAGTGTCATGAATAATCATTCTCTACTTGGGATTTTAAATTTAATTATATTATAATACAAATATATCAGATAAATCCCAAAAGTAGACTGCTTATAAAATATAAGGATATATTTAGTATAAAATCATGTTCAGCACATAACACCTATGACTTTTTTGAAAATAAAAATGACTATTAGTTACTCAAGGCATTTCCTTGCTTCTGTCTTGCCATTCTGATCCCAATCCTCCAATTTTCTGCCACAGTATGTACTCCAAATATAAAATGGCCCAATGGTTCTCCTGTTTCAACACCTTCAGAAGTTACCAAGAGCCTTCATTAACTGTGTTTTCCCATCTCTTAGCTTTATCTCCAAACCATGTCAGTCTCTCACTGGATTCAGAGATCATTGTGTTTAGTAGGTATAACCTCAGGTTCTTGTTTTTCATTCAATTACAAAAACAGACAAGGAGTTGGCTTCTCAGGCTACACACAAACACTGGGGATTTTCCTCTTGAAATTCTACCTAGCAGAGTTACTTCACCGATAAGCTCTATCATAGTGGATATGTGGATATGGATTTTCAAACTGTCTAAAAAGACATCCTCTAGATAAGTTGTACATTAATGTAACTTACATATTATTTAATGTGAGGCATTTAATCAATATTTATTTTGACCACATACCAAACCTGTTGTGTAAGTACAGTGATTATTGGGCCCATTTTACAAGAAAGGCAGGGAGAGGTTTAAGTAATATGTTCAAATTCATACTGCTTGCACGCAGATGCAAACAGAATACAAAAAATGTTACTTCAGAATCAGATCTCTCTATGTTGACTGCTTAACTTCAGATCTGAGCTTAAATTCATAGAGGGAGGAAGCTTTGGGAAGGCAGTGAGAGTAACTGCTACTTTCTTATTACCTGATAAATACAGGGAACATGCTCATCCACAGAACCATAATGTGAGCATGCCCAAGTGAAGCTCAGTTTCTTCCTCTTGTGGTTGGAGCCTTTTGAGGCGAGGTCTCACTGTGTTGCCCAGGCTGTCCTCAAACCCCTGAGCTCAAGTGATCCTCCTGACTCAGTCTCTTGAATAGCTGCGAATATAGTCAAATACCACCCAGCACCAAACTACTCCCAATTGATCTTTTAAAGATAAAGACTCTGATATGTGCTGACTTCTCAAAAACATTTTATGTTATATTCTATTAGAGACATGAGACGTGAGTTCAGACCACTCATCTCTTCGATTCAGCAGAACAGACCTTTTATATCTTTGGCTTATAGAGCAGTTTTTGACAGGGCTATGTGCTAGTTGACCATCTTCAACACTGCTGATATCAGGAAATCTACCGGATTAACTTGCCATGATTCTACTCCTTCTACATGTGATATAGTTCAATGCAAGCAAAATATGAATTACCTTAACACTTGGATAGCCTCTGCAAAGAAGAGACATATTGTCACTATTAAAAATTTTTTTTGAATATAATACATGCTCATCAAAGTTGAACAATGTGATGAAATGCAATAAAAATGGCAGGATAGAAAACTCTAAGGGCTACCCTCCACAGAAACCTGGCAAAATTGTCAGAATCAACTTTATCTGAACTCTGGAAACCAAAGTCTATGCTCCAGGTAAGCACTTAAGAGTCTTCACTGTGCTGACTGTCAGTAAGGTGCTGAAGATGCCAGCCCAAGTTCTTGGTGTGCACTCTTGGCACAGGAAGCAGCACAGCTGACCTTGCTCTCAGAGCTACAGATGTGTTGACCTGTCTCTCTGTTCTTGACATTTTAAAGAGTCTGCTTTTATTTGATCAAGTGTAGAACTCTGCTGGATTTGTCAATAGCATTTAAAGAGGGCCAGTGAGATGGTTAAGTGGGTAAAGACCCTTGTGGCCAAGCCTGAACCACCCGAGTGTGAACCCTAGAATCCCCACGGTAAAAGGAGCGAACTGACTACTTTAAGTTATCCCCTGACCTCCACAAGTGTGCTGTAGTACACACATGCCCACACATGTACACACAGACACATAAAATAAATAAAAGTTTATTTATTTATAAAAAATGTAAAAAAATTTTTAAAGGAAAACTGAAGTAGGCAAAGGAGAATTGTCAGGTCAAATAATGGAAAATCACAAAACTTAGGAAGAAAGAGTGAGGAGTGAGATATTCCAGGGAATGTCTAAAACACTCCTTCACATTCCTAGGAAACTGGAAGCCCAGAGCAGAGCACTAGCTCAGAAAGAAGAGAGAAGGCTCTAAAGTCTAACCTTTGGTGAATCTAAGTTCTAAATACAGAGGAAGTGAAGGCTAAGAAAGAGTTGTAAACTATTCAGCTGAACATGGAAAGCATGGTCCAACATATATACAGAGCTCACTGGCAATGACTGGAATGTCTGTCATCTCTCTTCTCTTCCTCTTCCTCTCTTTTTCTTTGTCCTCCCCTGTCCAAGTATGTAAGAGAAATCTGCCAAATTATTAGCTAACCCTAATCTAAGCAGAATCCAATGGCTACACACAGTCAAGAATGGACGTTTTATAAAATTGGAAACAGCACAAACCAGCTGGCGTGGTGGCACACATCTTTAGTCCCAACACTCAGGAGGCAGAGGCAGGTGAATCTCTGTGTGTTCAAGGCCAGCCTGGTCTATATAGTGAGCTCCAGGCCAGTTGGTGCTACAGGGAGACCCTGTCTCAAAAAGACCAAAAAGAAAGAAAAGAAAGAAAGAGGGAGGGAGGGAGGGAGGGAGGGAGGGAGGGAGGAAGGAAGGAAGCAAGGAAGGAAGGAAGGAAGAAAAGAAAACAAACCACAACAAGTAATATAAACAAACTCTGGGGAGGTGGGAATATAATTGCCATGTCATATATTTAAAATGTCTACTATCAGCAGGCGTGGTGGCATACACGTTTAATCCCAGCACTCTGGAGGCAGGGGCAGGCGGATCTCCGTGAGTTCAAGGCCAGCCTGGTCTCCATTAGTGAATCCAGGCCAGCTGAGGCTACAGGGAGACCTTGTCTCAAAAAGGCCAATAAATAAATAAACAAATAAATAAGTAAATAAATGTAAAATAAAATGTCTACTATCACAGACACACAAAAAAATGATAAGCTGGGCATGGTGGTACACACCTTTAACCCTAGCACTCAGGAGGCAGAGGCAGGCAGTTTCTGTATGACCAGCCCATTCTATATAGTGAGTTCCAGGCCAGCTGGGGCTACAGGGAGATCCTACTGCAAAAAAGACCAAACAAACAAACAAAAAAAAACCAAACCCCCCCCCCCCAAAAAAAAAAAAAGAAAATCAAACAAACAACCCCCCCCCCAACAC